TGTGGCTCTAAGAATTAAAATAATAGTTCGTTTGATAGTATGTTCTTAAAATAATTTATGCTAGAAATCTCACGAAAATGTAACAAAGTTCAAATAATACAGTTTTTTAAAAAATTTCACTAAAACATTCGGTTACTATTTTTTTAATACTAGAAATTTCGGTTGGTATTTTTTGAACCAATAGAATTAGTTGTTCGTAGATTTGGTGGGTTTTTTTGCTCGAGAATATTCTTTTTTTATTTTTCTGCACTAAGATGTTTGAGAACATTTATGTTTATGTATGTTTCCATGTAAGTCCGTTAAGCAAAATATTTTAAAGTTTATGATATTATTTTGTGGACAAACAAGGAAACATACATAAACTTAAATGTTCTCAAAACGACTAAAAAATCTGGCCAGTTTTTCGCAACTAAATATTATTTCCGTGATCAGTTATCGAGTGCGATCACACCCCCTTCCTGACCAAGCCTGTATTGTTTAAAAAGACCTTTAAGACAATGTTTAAAAGCAAATAACAGCTGCATCAAGTTGGAATACTTTTATCTGATTATACATCGAAATAACAACTGTCTAAATTATCCAATTTAAAAAAGTGATTATGTATATACATAATATAAAATATTATAATTAATGTGTTTTACTATTTACTTAATAATATTCTTTATATTCCATAAACCCTGTATAACTTCTGTATAACTTTATAAGAAAAAGTTTTTTAAATTTTTTAATCAATAAATGCATCAAGAACTGTACTTGTAAAAAAAAGTTTGTTGCCTAAAAATATCAAAAGTTGCAAGGCGACAAAAGTTTTGATTTTTTTCAAATATGAGAAATATCTTCTAATTTAAATCCTTAAGATATTAGTAAAATCTAATTGCAGGGAGTAAGGATTGCAAGCAATCTCTTGTTCAATTTATAAATAATCTATGATATGATCTACATCTTTTAAAAAGTTCTTTTCACTTTACATTACTCATTTTAATATATCACATTGCAATTTAAAAAATATTTTTGATATCAAAACTTACATATCAATTAAAGCATTTTTAAACAGATGAGATATTCTTAATTACACAAAATGCATTTATATTTTCAGATTTTTTCAGATTTGATTGGTCAAGTATGAATTCCATGAGCAACTTTTGTTATTTTTTTGAAAGCAGAATGTTGTTCCTTTGTTTCAGTTTATAAATTACTAATTCCAAGTACTCATTCATATGAAACAATCAGTGTCAAACAAACCTCTCTTTTTCCAATTTTCTATGCATTGAGCAAGCGGCAATAAAAATTCAAAGACCATTTAAACGGTATCTTTTATTGCAACAATAGTTGTTTTTATCGCTATAATTCGCCTTCTATGTACAAATACTATGTACAATTAAGTATAACAAAATATTAAAAGGTGATGCTAAAAAAATAAATAAATGATAACTATAAATAAATAACAAATAATAGTAATAATAAAAAGTAACATTAAAAATAAAAAAGCAAATAAATTTTTGAACAAATATTGGAATGAATAACAAATTATATATTTATTGAAAGAAGTTTTATGAGGGCAAATTATTTGGTATTCAATTTCGTTTAAAATGATTTTGCAAAGTTAAACAAACATAGCCTGTGCTTAAATGAAGATAGTTCTCTAAATTTAGTTCAGATACACTTTACCCTTGCTTTTAATGCTTCTTTTGATCTACCAGCTGATCCAGTTGTATCTCCAAGATATTTCATCTTTTTTCTATTTATTTCATCTTTTTTTATTTATTTCATCTTTTTCTTGCTTCTCTGTATTCACCAAAAATACATTTTCTACACTAAAAAAAAACAATATTAAGAGCACCTTATATACCATTACTTTTCTTGTTAGCCCATTTCTTACAAACCGTACCAGCAATAGAGTTGTCTCAAAATAAATCCTTGAGCATATATGGTAAAAATGATGTAAAGATAAGGGTGCAAATTTGTTTACCCTAGCTGATACTAAAAATGCATTTGATTTATTTACACCACAACTAAAAAAAACATCTTTTCTTAATGTTATGTTGATAATCACAAAGTTTTACTTTACTAATGCATTCCTATGGTAACCATCATTATTTTGAATTAATGAAACTTTCAACATAAAAGTGAAAGTTTGTAGATATCAGGAAGTTGTTATTAATAATATTTATTATTATTATTAGTTGAATTTGGTTTGATCAAATGTCATCTGGGATCACTTACTTTTATACTTTACATATTCTGTCTAGCTTTATATATCTCTGTGCTTTAAAAAAGCAACAACATTAACATAATGTGGATAGCATAACATGAATATAATGTGTTGTTTTTTTTATTTCTGTATTGTTTTATCCGACTTCTCATTTATTTATAAATTTTATATAAAAAAAAATAATTTACAAAAAACTGTTGTTTTATTGAATCCAACAAAAATATATATCTATAGATATTGATTGCTCTAAGAAGATATATATGGGTATATATCTTCATAGAGCAATTCTGCGAGATTGTCAGTTGTAATATTTGACACTCTTTAAAGGGATCCCCAACCTCCAAGACATGTTGTGTTTGTATTAGAGAGAATGATAAAAAAAAATGGTTTGGGCTGAATTTTTTTGATTAAAACAAAAAAGTAAATAAATACAAAGAAAAACTAACTTTTTTATTTTATTTGAAGCTGGCCTTCTCTGTTTTATTGTAGCCCTAAAAGTTAGCATAATATATGCCACAATCTACAGACTTGATAATTTATTCAAGCATGTTTTATTTCTAAGAGTTTCAGTACATGACATCATTGACTTTTTTGTTTGTTTACATAATACTCTTACACAAACAAAAAAATAATACTCTTTTGTTTGTTTACATAATACTCTTACACAAACAAAAAAAAATCAATTATGTCATGTACTGAAACTTATAGGAATAAAATGCGCTTGAATAAATTATCAAGTCTGTAGATTGCGGCTTATATTTTGCTGACTTTTAGGCCCACAATAAAACAGAGAAGGCAAGCTTTGACTAAAATAAAAAAGTTAGTTTTTCTTGGTATTCATTTATTCTTTTGTTTTAATCAAAAAAATTCAACCCAAACATTTTTTTTTAATCATTTTCTTTAATATGAACACAACATGTCTCAAGAGTTTAGGATCCCATTAGCCTATTAAAAATGAACCGAAAACAGAAATGACTTCATATTATTTAGTATGTCAAAGTTACAGCCTTAATGTCTTTTTTCAAAAATTAACTCTATAGCGTAATGGTTGTAAAGCTTACTTTTTACCACTTATGAACAAAAAAACTTAGTAGAGTTATTATTAACATGTTATTATATGCTGAGTTATTATTATGATGTTAGTGAGTTATTAACTAATATTTTTTACTGAGTTATTAACATGATGTTATTATATGCTGAGTTTCATAGTTTTTACTTGGAGTTTTGTTCGAATTTTTATGTTTTTTTTTGTTTTTTTTTGTCGTAACAATCGTAACAAAAAATCTAATGCTTAGAATCAACAAATAAAAGGATACAATCAATATGTAAGGAAAAAAGTATAAATGATTATTAAAAAACATGTATATTATGTTAAAAAAATGCACTATAGCATTATCAAAGTTCTCAATTATGGATATACAATACGATTTTTAATGCTACACAATAAGACTGTAAATAAGCATCAAAACACATTGATACAACGCTTACAACTTTAAAACCATGCTACGGTATGATAAAATGATTTTTTTAAATATATATATACTTATATATATATGTATATTTATATATATATATATATATATATATATATATATATATATATATATATATATATATATATTTATAAATATATATATATAAATATATATATATATATATATAAATATATATATAAATATATATATATATATATATTTATAAATATATATATATAAATATATATATATATATATAAATATATATATATATATATATATATATATATATATATATATATTTATATATATATATATATATATATATATATATATTAAGAAACAAGACAAATTTTTTTAATTAATAAAATCATATCAATATATATATATATATATATATATATATATATATATATATATATATATATATATATATATATATATATATATATATATATATATATATATATATATATATATATATATATATATATATATATATATATATATATTAAAATGTATATATATTGAAAAATCTGATGGAAACTTTTTCTGTATATGTATCAAGAATGGTGTGAAATCAACAATGATTCTTAGGTTTTATATATCACTACAATTTAATTGAAGTTTATTTAAATACAACATATATATTGATCTTTTGTCATAACCATCATATATCTTAATAGTTTTATGAATTTGGGTGGTGACTTGATAGCTGGGTGGTGCTTTATGATAGTGATTCTTAGTGTCAACTTACTGCAAAAGCTCAATCACATGGTATTATATTTTGTTTAATTAGATAAAAGAAAAATAAATTAACAAATTCAATTACGCCTATAGATTCAAGATTCTTCATTATTTTATTTAATTATTGCACATTGTTATCTAATAATCAAAAACCTATAAATTACAATCTGTATTAAAATACAGGTTATAATTTTAGTCTGATGATTGACTGTTAGTTTAACAAGTTTTTTTTTTAACTTATCACCTATTATTCTACCCAAAGTAAGTTTTTCAACTTCATTTTGAAACTAAATTTATTCTAGTAAAACTAATTTCAACTATTAAAAACAATCGTGTTTTTAAATATCTGAAAACAGTTGCATAGTGTAGGTGTTATTTTTGCTTAACTATTTTTATTGTTGTGTTAATGTTTTAAATTGTTTAACTTTAAAAAAAATGTATAAATTTTTTTTTGATTCTAATTGTTTTTTAAAAATACCTGTTTCATTTTTTATAACTTAATATTTCCTCTACTACTTAATAACTGGATAGTAAAATTTAAATTTGAAAAATTATTTGATTTTTAGCTTACTCAATGTCCGACGAAAGCCAGATTTATGTTACTAAAGTCAGTGTTGCAGAAGTGGTTAAGCGAAAAAAACCAAGCAAGCATTATGTAAATATTTTATAATTTAGTAAATAAATTGCCTATAGTTATTATCATTATAGTGGTGTCTAAAATAATTTATACATTTTTAATTAGGTTTATGTTATTAATGTTCTTTGGTCTGATGGGAAACAACAAGTCATTTGTAGACCTTATTGCAAGTTTTTTGATCTTCAGGTATGTATTAAATGTTTAATCTGTCAAACTATTTAGAAAAAGCTAAGTTTCCTTGTGCTATTGTTTTTCAAAAAGTTTCCTATGCTAAAACTTGAAAATGTCTATTCAGCTTTACACCTTTTTTTGGTTTAACATATTGATGTAGATATAAACTAATAATATAAACATATTGATGTAGATAAAAGCTAATGTTTGTATCTTGAATTTGATTTCTTATTTCTTAACTCTATTTTTTTATCTGTGCTTTCTTTCTCTCTTTTAATTCTCGCCTATTTCCTTAATTGTCCATATATGGAAATCAAGTAGATAAACATGACCTATTTTTGTAGTACAGTATTGCAAGATTCAATTTAGTATTTAAACATCTGAAATTATTTCTCTATATTAATTAGTTATAGTCAGTCTTGTAACTACTGACAAATAAATAAAATAAATTTTAACATTCAAATCTTTGAATTTTAATTTTGATTTTTTATTAGCACCACTTTACTCATTATCTATATTTATTATTATTAATCTTTTATTATTTTATTGTTATTATTATTGTTATTCTTTAATTTTTTTTGATGAAAGCATGCTTTTTGATATTTTTTGATGAAAGCATACTTTTTGATATTTTTTCAAATAAAGTTAATATGTTTTTATATATTATTCACTTGCGCCTAGTTTTAGTTTGTACTTATGCTCTAAACCTTTTTAATATCTCTCACCAGCTGAGATATATTTATCTCTTATCTTAAAACTTTCTTTGTTTAATGCTCTATTAATATTTTCTAATTTTGTTAAAATTTAGGCTTGTTTATCTGAAGCCTTTCCAGTAGAGTCTGGAGAAGTTCATCCATCTCAAAGAATAATACCTCTTTTGCCAGGTATGTTATTATATTACCACTTTTGCCAGGTATGTTATTATAATACCACTTTTGCCAGGTATGTTATTATAATACCACTTTTGCCAGGTATGTTTTAAGTGTTTGTTTTGGGGTTGAATGAGACTTGTAACATTATTTTAAAATGTTTAGTTTTATTAACTAATTGTTTCTAGGAAAAAATTAAATTATTAATAAATATCGTATGATAGTTTTACAAAGTTATCCTAAAAATAAAATTTTTTCATCTAAATAGTCTCAAAGAAACAACTTTTATCTTTTCATCAATGAAGTCTTATTATTGGTTTGAAAAATCAAGAACTATCTAATATTCAAAAAGTAATTGGAACTTCTTTTTAAAAGTGTTCTCAATTTTTATGAAACATGGTTTTTATAAACAAACCATTATCAATATGATTTTATTGGTTATTATTTTATTAATATACAAGATGTTGGTTTCATTGGTTATTATATTCCAGTAATTTTTTTTTTAAACATTCATCTATGCAATTTACAACAATTAATAAGAAATCAAGTTGCCATCTTAATTGTTGCATTCATCATTAGGGATGGGTGGGGGTTTTGGTACAGTAATAAAAAAGACAGTTTCATATGCATTTAAAAAACCAAATTTAGTCTTAATTTCTTCTTGTTAATAGTTTTGAATTAATAGACCTAACTCTATATTTGGGGTTGTAATAAATCTCAGTTTATTAACTCTATGTTTGGGGTGTTAGCTTAAGCTTTTTTTTAAATATACTCCTTTATATTTGCATGGATTTGATGAGCTTTATATTAGCTAGAATTTTTAGTTGATTTTTAGTTACATTTAAGTTCTGCACACTAAAATTAGCATAAGTACTAAAAATAAGTAAAGAGGTACATGTGTGTGTGTAAGTGTGTGTGTGAGTGTGTGGAGTTTTTTAATGCATTCAAAGTTGTTTAGCTACATTAAAATCTCTGTCTTTAATTTCATTATTTGTTGAAGGTATATTTGTTTCTAGCAAGTAATATATTAGCAATATACCTTCAATAAATAATGAAATTGCTTTGGAAATATTTTCCAAAGAGTCTAAAAATTAAAGACACAGAAAGCCTCTGTTTTAATGTAGCTAAATAACCTCATTAACCCTGTTAAATAAAAAGTTTTTTTTATTGGGTGCACATATTACCATAATTCAACTTCATTAAAAACAAAGCAATTTATAGAAAGGTAGCAAGAAGTATAAAAAAAGTAAAATTTATCTTTATTACGCTTTTGAATTTTTATATTAATATGATAAGATGGCAGCAATAGTTATTAATTTTAAAATTTATTTTAGGAAAAATTTTGTTTGGAAGAAGTGAAGTGAAAAATGTTGCAAACAAAAGGAAAGATCTACTAACAGAATACCTTCAAGTAAGATCTGTAGTAATAAAATTTGTGTGATCTTGAGACTGTAATAACAATAATTTGTGTCAAAAAATTTTGAAATAAAATTAATAACTTTTGAGTGATGAAATTTTTCAATTTTAACTGAATTTAACTGAAAGCCGAATTTCTATTTAAAATTTAGCACTGAAGTTGAAGCCAAAGTCAACTTGTCTTTCAGTAAACTCTGTAATCCGAATTTTTTAACGAATATGTCTTATTTCAAGTGCTTAACCAAAAGCTAAAAGAATTTTAAAACTGTTTTAACTTTTTTAAAATTTTTCAGGTTTAACACTAATTTATTAATTTATACTAAACCGATTTATTTTGTGTTAAAAAAATTATTTGAAGTTTATTCATAATTATAATTAGTGAATGTATTTATAATTATAGTTATAATAAAAAAATAAATTTATTATAGGTAAATCATGCTAAATTATCATCAGCAAAATAATTTTTTTTTGTTTTAAGTCTGTCCTTGTTTATATGTCATTATTAAAATAATGATAAGTTGTGTTGATTAATGTTTTAACAGATTTTATTGTCTACTATTTTTAGGATATTGTTTCTTTACCAGAGAAGATCTCACGTAGTAGCTTTGTGATTGATTTCTTTGAAGTTACTGCTGATGATATAAAAAATTTGACAAAGTACTTGATTTTTTAAAATGTTTTACAAATTTTTATTTTTTATTTATTTTTATTTGGTAAAGATAAGGCTTTGTTTTAAATAAAAAATGCTTAATGCATTAGCCTAATGTGAATTTGACGTCATAAATTTCTCTTTATTTTTCTACTTTTTAAAGACATTAACTATTTTAAATTACTGCAATAGTAATAATTACCACAAAATGAGTTAAATATTATTTAAATCATTTTTTATTATTACTGTTTGGAAATGTTTATTTTCTTTCATTTTTTTCATATTAAATAACTAAATTTAATATTTAGAATTAAATAAAAACTTCTATTATGGGTGTAACTCTTATTTTTTTATTTTTGTGAATTAATTTTTATACAATATTTCAAGAGAGTATAGATACCCTCGTTACCAAGTATTATATATATATACATATATATATATATATATATATATATATATATATATATATATATATATATATATATATATATATATATATATATATATATATATATATATATATATACATATATACATATATACATATATATATATATATATATATACATATATATATATATATACATATATATGTATATATATATATATATATATATATATATATATATATATACATATATATATATATATATATACATATATATATATATATATACATATATATATATATATATATATATATATATATATATATATATATATATATATATATATATATATATATATATATATATATATATACCGGGTGGGCCAAATGAAGTCATCCGATGTTGTTTGGCTCTAAATTTTTTTCGAAATAAAAAACCTCGATTCTGTTTTTTTAATATATTTATTTGAACCTTTACAATTTTATTGTTCCAGTCGAGATGATATTGGCCAAATGGGCGCCGCCACAATTGATTGCTATACGGGCTCGTTTTATGGCATTTTTCATCACTTCGACGAGAACTTCAGGCGACAGATTCTCGCACTTGTGTCGAATGTTGTCCTTAAAAGCTTCTAGGGTCTCAGGCTTGTTCACATGCACACGGGACTTTAAAAAACCCCACAAAAAAAAGTCTGGAACGGTGAGATCTGGCAATCTTGCGGGCCAGTGCAAATCGCCGAAAAGAGAAATGAGGCGACTCGGGAATGCCACCTTCAGAATATCAGTTGTGGTTTGCGCACTGTGTGCTGTTTCTCTGTCCTGTTGGAACCACATGTCTTCCAGTCCTAATTTGTTCAATTTTGGCAGAAAAAAACCCAGTTAACTTGGCCCTATAGCGCGCACTGTCCACTGTTGTCATTTGACCAGCAGGGTCCTTGAAAAAAAATCGCCTGATGATTCCTCCAGCGTGAACAGAGCACCATGCAGTCCCTTTCAGCAGGTGTAATGGGTCCTTGTGCATCACTTGTGGATTTTTGGTGCCCCAGAAGCGATAGTTTTGCTTGTTCACGTACCCGCTGAAGTTGAAATGAGCGAGTGTATAGCTCCATGGCTTATTCACTTGAAATTTACATCTGTCTACTTCACAAATGTCGAAACAGATTTCACATTTGCTGTAAATTACAATAGGGTGATTTCTTTTGGCCCACCTTATATATATATATATATATATATATATATATATATATATATATATATATATATATATATATATATATATATATATATATATATATATACATATATATATATATATATATATATATATATATATATATATATATATATATATATGTATATTTATATATATACATATATATATATATATATATATATATATATATATATATATATATATATATATATATATATATGTATATATATATATATATATATATATATGTATATATATATATATATATATATATATATATATGTATATATATATATATATATATATATATATATATATATATATATATATATATATATATATATATATATATATATATATACATTTCTTGATTAATTTTTCTTAAGTTAACATTTTTAATAAGATTTTTGTAATTTTTCTTAAAAATTTGTATCACCTATCTTTATACAAAGACTTTTATAAATGATCATTATATACATTCTTAAAACTTTTTAAATGTGACTATGTCGTTTTCTCCCCTGGACTCTTCATATATATATATATATATATATATATATATATATATATATATATATATATATATATATATATATATATATATATATATATATATATATATATATATATATATATATATATATATATATATATATATGTATATATATATATATATATATATATATATATATATATATATATATATATATATATATATATATATATATATATATATACATATATATATATACATACATATATATATATATATATATATACATTAATTTTTCTTAAGTTAACATTTTTAATAAGATTTTTGTAATTTTTCTTAAAAATTTGTATCACCTATCTTTATACAAAGACTTTTATAAATGATCATTATATACATTCTTAAAACTTTTTAAATGTGACTATGCCGTTTTCTCCCCTGTACTCTTCACATATATATATATATATATATATACAGTACTGTGAATATGTTTTTTTTTAAGCATACTGAAGTTGAGTAATATTTGAGAAAGGTTGAAAGAATATATTATCTTGAATAAATAAACAAAAATTTATGAGGAACATGAGGGATATGTTTGTTTATTTATTAAAACGATAATTGTCATAATAACTGCAGACCAAGCGTTCATCTAAATAATACATAAAAATAAAATTTTCGATTTTTTTCTTACTGGTTCAGGTTCATATTCGTTCATTTAAGTTTTTAACAGTATAAAATGTAGTCATAGAGTGAATTTAATACAATAATAATCGGTTTTGGTACATTTTTTAAAAAGTTGTTATTTTTTATGAATACATTTAAACAAATAGTTAAAAATAATTAAATAAAGTTATTAGTTTACATTTTTAGATTAATTAAGTGTTGCTATGGGTAAAATATCTTTAATAGAGAGACAGAAAGTTATTGTGCTTCACGAAGAAGGTTATTCGCAGCGCCAAATTTCTTCCAAAACAGGATATTCGAAGACTGCTATTAGAGAAATCATTAAAAAGTTTAGAGAAACTGGCTCCCTTCGAAATAGAAAGAAAAGTGGCAGACCTCCTAAGCTAACAAAAGATGACAATAAATATTTAAAAACCCTTTCTTTAAGAAACAGGAAAAAAACATCCACCGAATTGGCAAAGGACATTAATACAGCAACAGGGAAAAATGTTAGCTCTTCTTGTATTCGACGACGCCTACTCAAATCAGGATTACGAGGCTGCGTTGCTATTCGAAAACCTTTATTACGGCGTGGCAATAGAGAAAAACGACTTAAATATGCAAAACAACACAAAGATTGGACCCAGGAAATGTTTAATCGGGTTCTGTACACTGATGAGTCCAAATTTGAAATTTTTGGAACGAAAAGACGTCAATATGTTCGAAGAAGAATAGGAGAAGCCTATCAGCCTGAGTGTTTAAACCCTACTATTAAACACGGAGGAGGCTCTTTACAAGTTTGGGGCTGTTTATCTTCATCTGGGGTAGGTAATCTGATCAAAATAGAGGGACTACTCACCGGGGAACGTTATGTGGATATTCTAAGACAGCATGCTATACCATCCGGAATGAGACTAATGGGCCATAGTTTTATTCTGCAGCAGGACAATGACCCAAAACATTGTTCCCGAGTGGCAAAAAATTATTTAAATGAAATGGCAGAAGAAGGAATACTGGAAATGATGACCTGGCCTCCCCAGAGTCCAGATTTGAATATAATCGAGCATATTTGGGATTACTTGGCCAGGAAAAAGGTCGAACATGCTCCCCGAAATGCTGAAGAATGTTTTCAACTACTTCAAAGAGAATGGCACAACATACCGCAGGATTTTATAACAAATTTGTATGAATCTATTTCCCGGCGAATATCGGCTGTGATTAAGGCAAAAGGAGGACATAGTAAATATTAAGGGTTTTTTTATGAAGTGTGACATTAAAAAGTTTGTTATTGTTCCATATTTTGTGTGAAATATATGTATTTTAATAATTTTATAATATAGAATTCAAAACTTAAATATTAAGGAAGAATTCTCTTGGATTTTTTGAGAAAATGTAAGTGGTCTAAAACATATTCACAGTACTGTATATATATATATATATATATATATATATATATATATATATATATATATATATATATATATATATATATATATATATATATATATATATATATATATATATATATATATATATATATATATATATATATATATATATATATAGACTCTTGCAACATTGTCAGAAAGTTTTTCCATATTTTGTTGACATAATATGGAAAAACTTTCTGACAATGTTTGACAATGACACATAAAAAAAAAATTAACAAACTATAATTTTTTAAGTAATTAAAAGTGACGTAATTTGTTATCAAATAAATCGTTTTTTACTTTCTGTACTCTCAAAGCCAACAATTTATAGAACTATGTATATATATATATATATATATATATATATATATATATATATACATATATATACAGAGCTATATGTGCAAAAAGAGCAACCACACTGTGCCCTCGATATGTAAGGGACCCCAAATATGAAAAAATATGTTTTTAAATATGAAACTTTTTTATAAGAAACTACCACTAGAAGCCAAATCTTAAGAATCTTTATTACTAAATTACTTTTTGATCAGAAACTTATTTTATTAAGCTATTTTGTTAAGTTCAAGGAATATTTCCTAATTTTGCATGCACAATCGAATGAAGCTCCATTCAAATGAAAATGGAATTCCGCTCAAAATTTCCCTTTAAAAAACTTTTTATCTAAAAATCAATCAAATGAAAATATAAAAAATTTGATTAATTTGATAGCAACTTTATTTGAAAAATAATATTTTTCAAATATATTTCAAATATACCTTATACTTCTGTTGTTTTATTGTTTCAAGTTGTTAGTTTTTATTTTATTTTTTAAATAGTTTTGTTAACATTTTTAAACTAATTCAAACTAATTCAAAATTAATTGGAAATTATCTGCGTTCTACAATGTCACAGGAAAGACTTTCAGGATTTACAATACTCTCGATAGAAAATGCAATCGCTAAAGGGCTAGGAAAAACTGTTAAAAACAAAACAAAAGCAAAAACAAATCAATGCAATAGTTTCTTTTGATTCAAATATCGAAACATAGGTTTCCAAAAGGAAGTTGCGACGTAACCTCCATCTTCCTGATTCAGACCGCCGTCTGAATCAGGATGATAGAGGTATATATATCGTTGTTTCGATATTTGAATCAATAGAAACTATTGCATTGATTTCTTTTTGTTTTTGTTTTGTTTTTAATAGTTATATATATAAATATATATATATATATATATATATATATAATATATATATATATATATATATATGTGTATATATATATGTATATATGTATATGTTTTTCTTTTATTTTTAACAGTTATATGATTCTTAACATTCTGATTCAGACCGCCGTCTGAATCAGAATGATGGAGGTATATATATCGTTGTATAAATTATTTATTAATAAATAATTGCTGCACTCAACTTGCGTTATAAAAAAAAGTTACGTTTTGTGCAAATTTTTGATACAGCCTCAAAACACACTTATTTAAAATTTAATTTTGAGTAAAAAAAAATTGTTTAGCAAAGAAAACTGAAAAAAGAATTGCAATAAAAATGTGCTAATTTTTTTTTAAGAATAAATAAAGTTTAAATATTGAACAATATTTAGTACTATTTTTTAATAAATTTGACAGTTAAGTTAAACGCAAGCATTAACTTTAATTTTAATAAACTTAAATATTTTTTTAAATCAGACTTAACATATATATATTTTTTTTTCAATCAAAATTAAATTATATATTATTTTATCAGAATAAAATTATATTATTTTATTAAATTAGTTTTAAATTAAATCATTTTTTTTCAATCAGAATTAAATTATATTATTATGATCTTTGCTTCAAGCTTAAAGTATTAGCATTTTTCAAGCGAAAAAATCGATCATTACAATTAAAAAAGAAATTAATTATTAATCATTTATTATTATATAGAAATTTAAGTAAATTTTTTTAATGCAATCAAAAGTTGCATAAATATTCTTGTGCTCGCACAAGGTGATAAATAAAAGTTTTTATTATATATACAGTGAAATCTTGATATCTTGAACCCTGGATAACTGGAACTTCCAGTAACTCAAACAACTTTTGAGTTTCCCTTGAACCCTTACTAATACTTTCACATAAAAACAACTCGATAACTCAAACACCTGTTAGCTCAAACAATGGCTTTAAACCATTTTATCGGTTCCCATGGCTCATATTTTTCTGATAACTCGAACTTTAGAACAAAAATATAAAAAAAACTGCAATGAAGCCCTTGTATTGCAATGTAAACAACAATAAATAATAATAATAATAACAATAATAAACGATAATAATAGTTTGATAGTTTAGTTTATAGTATAAGTTATACTAATGTGCGTTGTAATATTATAATAAAGTTTGTTGTGTTTACATTTTATTATGGCTACTGTCGCTGAAAAGAGAAAAACAAACACAAAATCAATTAAAGAAAAGTATGCTGCTTTAAGGAAAATTGGAAAAAGGTTGTCAAAGTCTCAGGTTAATAAGAAATATGGCATTCCAAAGAATACTCTGTCATTATGAATCAAAAATAAATAAAAAATTTATGAAGACGCAAGAGAAAAACTCAAATACGTATAAGAATTAAAGAAGGAACATTTTCAAATTTAGATAACCTTGTTTTTTTTAATAAAAACCCTGTTTCTATTCCTTACATTTTAACTGGCATTTAAATGTAAGGAGTAGAAACGTGTCAGTATCAGCAACAATTCTTTAAACAAAAACCAGAGAACTTGCTGAAAAAATTAATATAAATGGATTGTAAGTGTCTGATGGTTGGCTTGATTGTTTGAAAAAGAGGTATAATGTTTTTTTCAAGATAGAGTTCTTTCAAGATAGAATTATTTCAGAAAAGAGTAACTTTAAGTTTAAGTATAACGAGTTTGTAAGAATGACTGAAGCAAAAATAATTTAAGTTAGTAAACCAATTTCTAAGAACTTAAAAACTTTTCTTTCTTGGGTTAAAGAATCGGTTTTCGGGTACACTGAGGAAAATGGATTAGTGGTTAAAATTATTTGTATTATCTTTCATGATTATTAATCATTTCATTGAAAACGCAGTTATTATTGAAAGTATTTTTGTTTACAAAATCAATTGCACAAATTGTTTTAAAAGATTACATTTGAATAAAATACGCATACATAAAATTACATACATAAAATTATATACATAAAAAATACATACATAAAAATACATTACATACATAAAAATACATCCCTTACATATAAAAAAAAGAATATACTAATAAAATCTATAATATTTTTACAAAACGTTGACAAGTTAAATAATATAAATTTAAAATATTCATTTTTGTAAACAAATGTTAGTTTAAAATATTTATAGCTTGGTAGATGTGGCTCCCAGAATGAGCCATAGTATTAAAATTATAGTTCGTTTGATATTATATTCCTTAAGCAATTTCTGCTAGAAATCTCAACAAAAACATAACCCAAATAATACATTTAAAAAAAATACTTCAACAGAATACTCTAGAACATTCGGTTAGTATTTTTTGAATACTCTAGAAATTTGGGCTAGTATTTTTTGAACCAATAGAGTTAGTTGTTCGCAGGTTTGGCGGGTTTTTTGTGTTCGCGAATATTCTTTTTTTTTATTTTTCTGCACAAAGATGTTTAAGAACATTCGAGATTATGTATATTTCCATGTAAGTCCGTAAAACAAAATATTCTAAAATTTACGATAACTTAATTATTATTTTGCGGACAAACAAGGAAACATACATAAACTTAAATGTTCTCAAAACGACTAAAAAATCTGGCCGGTTTTTTGCAACTAAATATTATTTCCGTGGTCAGTTATCGAGTGTGATCGCACCCCCTTCCTGACCAAGCCTGATTTAAAATGTTATTTCCATGCCATCTACTACGACTACTTTTGACAAAATCTTTTTTAAAGATTCTTTTTCCATTTTGTCATAACTTAATATGTATTTGGCGTCACTCTCTTGTTTTTCAACACATATTTCCAACATCACTTACTCCCAATTACCAGATCTTGTCATTTTTAACATGGTTAAAAAAAATTTATACATAATTTAGTTAAAGAAAAATTAGAATAATGAATCACTTCTTTATTAATAAAATATATTTAGCTAAACCTACCAATAATACTTTGTGTTAAATGCACTTAAATGCACAAAGGTTGTTCAGAATAATTTCCAAAACTCAAAAGATTAAATTAAATTGCATAAAACAAATGACTTCACTAAAATAAAAATATTCGAAAGTGTGTAGAAAAAAAGTATATATATATATTTGAATGTTTACAGATGAAGTAACACAAACAACACAATTTAATTAATTTTAAACACAATAATTTATATAAGTTTATTGTAAATATACCACTAATAAATATCATCTTGATCTTTCAAATATTATTTTTTTCATACTTTTATTAAATTAAAAATATTAAGTTGGAATATGTTTTATAAAAATAGTCGTCAAAACTTTACTTTTCTAAATCACTGGTTATTTGAAACAAAATATCTGGATATTGCATAGCAAAAAGTTAGTTGAATATAATTGGTATAGTTGAATATAATTGAGCTTGGATGCTTTAAATGTAGAAATTAACTAATGCTTCTAAGCAGTTCTGTAAACCTTAAATTTTTTTTATGGCTAAGCAATGTATTTTAGGACAGAAAAAAGAAAAAGAAAAAAGAATTACTGTCAATGATTGTGATGTTAGAACTTTTAAGCTTGGTTTTAAGACTTCATTAAAAATATTTAGTCAAGATCATCGTTTGAAATTTAAGACAATAGATGATGTTCTTATAAACTTCAAACAATGTTTTAAAGATTTATTTAGTAGTTTATTTTTTATAACAACTAATATTTTAATAAATAAAAAAGAAAGCAAGAGCTCCTTGAACCCACTTAGTTTTAGGGAGGTGAATAACTTTAAAAAGTATTTTATTGTTTATGTTATCAGGGTGTCTTGAAATAAAGTTTGATACTGTGAGTTACTTCATGTAGCTTTTATGTTGTAAATAAATCTAGAAATTTTTCTTTGTTTAATAAAAATACCTTGATGTTATAATGGCAATGCGTTTAACTAAGAACTTGTGCTTTTAAATAGATTAACAAACATCCAATTGCAAGTAAACATTCTTACAGTTCAATTATTTTTGACCAAAAGAAATGATTTTTTTAGTTTTTAATTGATTTGGTTGGTAAATTATAAATATAGTAGTAACAAGTTATATTTTTTGTAATTTAAATTATTTCAATATGGAAAAAAAATACTTGCTTAATCTTTAGAGCATTTTTTTTAACATAATTAAATTTAAATAGTGAAATATGCTTAAACTAACTTTTGTTAAAATAATGATGAATTTTTTTTTGTTTTAATAGTATTTTCTTTGACCAGTTCTTTGAACAATTTTAATGAGTGATCAAGTGATCACGAGCTATCAAGTTTTTTTTTATTATTTTATAACTTGTTTTTTTGCAGAAAGGCAACTATAAAAAAAAAAGAAAAGACAGCAAATAATATATCTGATCCATTTCGCCTCGAACAATACACTGTTGTAGAAGCATTTAAGAAATCAGAGCGAAATCAGGTAAAAGTAGCTCCATTTATTTTCAAACATAAATATTTAGAAAGTTTTTATTTTTAAAGTTCAGTATAATAAATAAATAAGAAATATAATTAAATCAAACAAGTTATTTTTTTAAAAGATTTGTAAATTTCAAATTTGCTTTTTATTCAGTTATCAATAAGTAACATTTAGAAATTTATTAAAACAAATGAAAATAAAATCTCAGCAAAGAATTTGTTTGAAAAATGCAGATCTTAATTATTGATGGAGAGAGGCTTATGGAGAGGACCCTTCTTTTCTGACAATATTCACAATTATAGCTGCTATAACTAAGTTGCAAAAATTAATTGTAGTAAGTCCTCTTTTAAAATTTATGAGCAATGATATGTGTACTGTGGAAATTAATGAAGAATTCCAGTTTTTAACTACTCTATTCATAAAAAAATTTCAAGTTTTAAGGGTAGGTAATTTAAGCCATGTTAAACATTCCTCATCCTCAGCTTGTAACTTCACTTTAAGGTTATTGGGTATTATAACCCCATTGGGTACCCCTGTATCTGACTCTACTGCTGTATTCTTTGCAATCGCTATTTTGAGATTCCATTGAATATACATAAATTTGCTAATTTTTTTTTTTAAGCCTATGTCCATAACCTTGCATTTTTCAATGCTAAATAACATAAGCCATTTTTTAAACCAGTTAACAGCTGTATCAAGATCTTTTTGAAGAAAGTGCGTCTTTTTATGACTTAATAATGAACTTGCTGTCGTCTGCAACTTGCTGGTAATAATGAACTTGCTGTCGTCTGCATACATCTTTATTTTTCTTGAAATTAAGTCAAAAAAAAAGTATCTGTCCTAAAACCAAATCTTGAGGTGCTCTTATTTTCTCCAATAGGAGATTATCAATTTTAACTCATTGTTTTCTATTGGTCAACCAACTTTTTATCCAATTATGTAATTGACCATAAATGCCATAGACCTTCTGTTTGTATAAAAATCTTTCATGTGGTATCTTGTCAAATGCTTTCAAAAAGTCTGTATAAATAACAATTTTTAGATTGGATTGGCAATAGGCGATGTGGTGGATGTTATTGAAAAGCATGAGAATGGTTGGTGGTTTGTCAGCCTTGAAGACGAGCAAGGATGGGCACCAGGTTCTTATTTAGAACCAGTTAGTGGTAGTAAAGATTCAATGGAAGAATCAGTTTATGGCAAGGGTAAGTGTTGTTATACTTTTAAAATAAATATTACAATTATATATTATGTAAATAAATATTACGATTTAAGATTAAATTTTACAATTGATGTATTATCTGAATTTGAAATTCATATTAAAAACACTGATAGAAAAAATCATTAAAACTTTCAAAAAATCTCCCACTAAAAATGATTCTGTTTTACAAAAACATAGAAAAGAAATATTATTAGTTTCAGATTCTAAAACCACGTGGAACAGTCTCCTAGATATGCTCTCGCAGTTTTACAAGTTCCGTGATTGTACTCAAAAAATTTTGTAGGAAAGTAAAAGATTAGGATTCTTATATCTATAGCAAATGTTTGTTATAAGCATTTACTTTTTTCAATAAAACAACTGTCTTGTAATTCAAGCTATTTTATCATATAGAAGAGGGTTATAAAAGAAGTTATTTTTGTATTGTACTAAATAAGCAAATAATTGCTCCTTATTACAATTTTTCTGTGTTTTTTAAGACAAAGCTTTATCTTAAAAAAACGCGATGGGATGGTTTTCAGTATTTTCCAAAATACCATCCTGTCTAATGATTGCTACATGGTTTATACTTTATAAAAAGGTGGCAGGATGGCGTATCACCCCATACTGTCTCCATTTATATACTATATACTTAAAAGCAGCACTCACTTTACTCTTTTTTAAGTATATAGTAACAACTATTGTTTTACAAAAAACAGCAGATTAACAAAATACAGTACAGTAAAAAATAAAATGTAAACACAATAGAAGAATTTGTATTATAGTTCTCTAGTTTAAACATATAAAAGTGTGCTTATAAATGTGTAAGAATTAAATTTTTAAAAATATAAATATAAATTCACAACCTCCTCCTCACCCTAAAACTAATGACCAATCTGTGCAATCAATCTCGAATGTATCTCCACTTTTTCCCAAAAGTATATCAACCAAATATATAAATTTTTATTATTGTATCGCACTCCTTAACTATTTAGCCTATTTAGCCTAATTAGGTAGTTTTAACAATTTGTTAAAAAGTAAGTATATAATAAGCATAATATTTAGTCTTACTCAGCATTTTTTTTTTTTTTTTTAATAAAAAATTCATTGCATTAAAAAGTCATTGCAAAATAAATTTCTTTAAATATGGTAAAATTTTATTTGCGTTATTCTTAATATAATCTTTTAAGTAGATCTCTTGTCGTAAAGTTTTTAATTCAAGGTATTGGTATTTATACCAAATATGAATTATATTAAAAATCAGATGCCTATTAAAAAAAAAAATGATATTTTATTTTTCAAATTAGAGGAAAAGTTTATTTGCACAAAGCCATATAAAGCATTGCAACCTGATGAATTATCACTGGCTTTGGGAGATGTTGTATTTGTTTTGGGAAAGTGTTCAGATGGCTGGTGGAATGTTAGGTGAACTTTTTTTTTGATGTTTTCATCTAATAGTTATCATCCAGTCCCAACCTTCCTGATTTAGGTCAGGTCAGAATTGAGAATAAGCATAATATAATCAATACATAATAATCAATCTTTATTATTATTTTTCCTTTTATTATATTTATTTTTTTAATTTTTTATTTTTATAAAATAGTTAATGATAAATCCTGATAAATGAAAAAAAATTGGGATGTTGTTATACAAAAAAAAAATTGTTATAAAGCAAAATTTTGAAACTTAGGAACTTGTTGTGCTGTTTAGAAATCTGTTTTCAAATACAAATGTCTTATGGTTTTCTGTCTTGCACTACTGAAGAATGTTGCCATTGATCTCCCATTATCTATCCCTAAACAATGGTGGAAAATTATTGGAAAACAAAGCTAAAAAGTTTGTAAAAAAATACTCAAATTTGTAAGTTGAGGATTTTTTGGAAATCCTTAACCTGTGAATTTGGCGTTGGTATAGAAGTACCGTTGCACAAATTATATTCCTAAAGTATTCCTTTTAAAAGGAATGCTTTAGATTAAGTATCTTCATTTCGGTGTTATAAGTAAATAGCATTAATAATAGGAATGTTCTAGGTCAGCTATCTTCATTTCAGATATTATTGGTGTGTAAGTAAGTAGTTTGCTACCTAACATTTTTTTGAATTTATTTTTTTAAATTTTCAAGTTTTTTTTTTTTAATATTCTCACTAAGTAGTCATGATGCTAAATGAAATTTTTAATTATGCAGTAAAAATGCGATAGTCGTGTAGCGGTAGAGCACTCATAAGCGAGAAGTTTTGAGATCGATCCCCACCACGTCCCTGTTAGTGTCGTGCTCAACTTGTTTCTCCGCGCAGCCGCTTTGTTTGTTGAGCTTCATGTTTAAAGTTATAGAGAGTTGAGAGAAGGTTTTAACCACAAAAAGAAGTAGCCTCATTGACTGTAGTGGTCTTTTCCGCTTTCGGGAAGTGGATAGTTAAAAAAAAAATCTTTTGTTGTATGATCCGATTGTATTGCTAAATTGTCTCATCTTTCTTAAGCAACTTTCTTTTGAAAATATTCATAAATTAAATAGCTAAATATGTAAATGGATTAACTATGTATTGTTTTCTATAAAATTAATAACAAAGTAATGTAAAAATAAGGAAAAAAAAAATTAAAAAAAAAATTATTAATTCATTTTAAATTATTATTAAATTCATTATTAATTTTTGCAGGTTAAAAAGTGATCTAGAAAAAAATTATGATGGTTTTGTACCTGCTGTTCACCTGGAGAAAGTTCCAAAAGAAGCAGAAAACGGCATCATGAGGCGTTCTAAAACTGTTTTATCCCGAGGTAAAATGTGATAATGAGATAGTGGTTAATTCTATGTTGATAAGGGTTTGCACCCTTATCAACATAGAATATTAAGTAGTATTAAAAAAATTTAACCTTTTTTATCATACTTATAGGTGTTGTTGCTCCACCAAGAAGGACATCTCTTAAGGTATTTAATGTTTTAGTAAAAGTTTTTATTTTTTTATTTTTTTCCACAATAAAGTGCTCAAATCTAAATTCTAAACTGTAAAATGCTACAAAGAGTTAAAGAATTGTAAATAGCACAAGATTTATAAATACAGAAAGCTGTAAACTAATGCTAGTTTATCAAATTGTTTAGTAGATTTCTATTACTTTTATCACTTCAAAAATTTAAAATCTAGGTCTTCTTATAATTAGAAGTCTGCTTTAAAATGCAGTCTTGTATTATGTATATACCGGGATGAACTCAGATGTGTTTTGATAATGCTGGAGAAGTATGTCATTTGCTAAATTTTTACTAATAAAATTTTATAATAATATGTATTAATTTTAAATTAATACATATTATTAAATTAATAGAGGTTTTTAATGATTTCAAGTGACATAACTTTAAAAATATTTAAAATTTTTACTTAAAAATTTGTAACTGGCTATTTTCAGGGGAGACAAACTAATAAAATGATCAGAAATGTAAAAAATTATTATTAAGTACCAGTAATTATCGATATAAATAAATTTAGTAGCAATTTGGCATTTTATTTTCCCATTAAGCCCGTTCTCCATTCAGAACTTTTTGCGCTTTGGAGAAGCGGAAAAGTTCTTTGAGCATGCGCAAACAGTTTTTTTAAACCCGTTCTCCAATCAGAATTTTTTGCGCATGCTCAAAGAACTCTTTCGTTCCTCCTAAGCGCAAATAGTTCTGAATGGAGAACAAGCTTTACTTCTTTTTTTTTTACCTAGACTTGCTGCAACATCTTTTCTGTCTACTGTTATATCTTTGTCAAACCAAGTTAGCTCATGTTCCAGAAGTCTTGAGAAGGTTTTTCAATGTTTCCTCAATTTATATTGAAAATTACCTTTCAAATAATATTTTCTTAAGATTTATCATTTCAGATTAATACTTTCATGATATCTCATGATATCCCTCTTGTCTACAAAACTCATGTAAAAGTAAATTAAATAAATTATCATGATAAAAATTTTAACAATTGAATGCATTTTAACACTTGCAACTGTGTAAACTATTGTTTGTTATTTTATACAGTAATAAAGAAGGGGGAAAAATTTAAAAAGGTCCTATATTAAATTAGTGCAAGTTTGGGTAAAAAATTTGTTTTTCTTTCTACTTTCATATAGGGTAGAGCGGGGCTAGTTTTTATTTACTAAATCTAACAGATCTCATGAACGGTGCGTCAGATTTATATAATTTTTTCACTATTTGAAAGATAATTTAACCTGCTAAAAATTAGTTATGAAAAAAGTATATTTTTGGTTTTTTTAAAAAGATATTGTCTAAAGTTTGCGGAGCTGTTAAACTTGCCCCAGTGGTGGGTAAATTGTTAAAATATTAACACTTAAGTGATGTCCAATATAAAATAATAGAAAAAGTACCAGTGTATCTTACTTAACTGTTTTTCAGCAATCATTTGTTGCGCATTGTGTTAACATTCTAATTTTCTAGCTTTCATCCATTAGATGTTTTGTCATGTGATGTGTAGTTTTTGAGATATTTAATTGCCCAACTTGTCCCTATGCTCAACTAGCCCTGCTCTACGCTACACCTATCAATGAGAAAATGTTAAAATTACCATGGAGTCTAGTAGAATCTCTTTTTTTTCAGCTGAACTCATTATTACCAAAAAAAAAATTGAGTTTACTTTTTCCAAGGTCTTAGAAACAACAATCTAAAATTAAAATGCAGTGTTAACAATAATTTTTTAGCTTCCAATTATCTTAAACATGTAAACAAGAAGCTTTTTCTTACAAAAAATGTATACCTACAGAAAAAAAACATTGAGTACACAAATATGCTCCTGTTGTTTTTTTGTTTTGTAATATATATATATATATATATATATATATATATATATATATATATATATATATATATATATATATATATATATATATATATATTATTTTGTTTTTAATTCAGAAAAAGAATCCACCTGTTGAGAACGATAAAGTCAATGATGGATTAAATAATAAAAGAAGAGTTTCAAAAGATGAAGGAAAAAAGAAAGCTAGACTTATAAAATTTACAAAACCTATTAAACAACCAAGAAGAGTATCTGATGCTTCTTCATTAGCAACATATTTTGCAACTTTAAATGTCTTATCTGATGTTGTACCCTTAAATGCTAATGAAACCCAAATGCAGCTCCCATTGTCTCCAGCAGCAGAAATTCAAATTCAAAATTCTTCAAAACCTTTAATCCCCAAACTACAATCTACACCAAATGTTGATGAGTCAATAGAAGACCAAAAACCGCTTTCATTTTCACCAGCAGAAGAAATCTACATATCAGTTGGAAATTATGATGATAAAGATGAAGGTATACTAAGTCTTAAGAAAGGACAACAAGTACATGTTTTAGAAAAGGATGATGGAGGTTGGTGGTATGCCAAAGTTGATAATATATCCGGTTGGGTACCATCAAATTTTTTAAAATTAATTAAATCAGCTTAAAAAAAACAATTATTTTAAGGAATCTTTTTTATTTATTGTAAATATGCATTAAAGTTAACTTTTTTTGTATGTAGTTAATGTTTTAAGTTAATATTTAATATGTAAATGAATATACTGTATTGTTTAGAAAAAATTTACAAATAATTCAAATATGTTCAATTCAAAAATATTTTTGTTTTTTTTAATTTTTTGACCTTTTGACAAGTAATAAGGAAAAAATATATTTAAATTGTATTTTTGTTACTTGCTCTTTGCTTTCTACAAGCATTTATTTTTTATTTATTATTACATGTTTTTAATTTTTCATTTCTTTTTTACATGTATTTATTTTTTTTTTTTTTATGTATTTAATTAATTTTTATTTTAGACTAAGCAATATAATATTAATTTATGTAGAAAGGCTTATGTTTTTGCAAATGATAAGTGGACATCACACCTTGACCTTAATTGAGCAATAGGGCTTGGTGCACTAACACTAACCATCAGTTAAAATATATCAACTGAATCCACTGTCAATGTTGTTCTTGTTTTAATAAGACATCATCAATGACATTTTTGCAGTAAATGTTTGGTGGTTTTAAAAAGTTTGGGGTAGGAAAGTATTTAAATATGGTCAAGATTTAAAAAAAAAAATTTTTGTTTTATTTTAAATTAAGTTAATGGATATTTAATATTATATATATATATATATATATATATATATATATATATATATATATATATATATATATATATATATATATATATATACAGCCCTCGGAAAAAGAGAATATTGTTTTAGCTACAAAATATAATATATAAAATATAACATAAAATAAAATTAAAATGATATATAGTAAATAACTTTTGGAAAAAAAGTTTTTTTACAACTATCTCAACCCTTAGCTTCGAAACATAAACCTTGTTCAAACAAAAAAAAATTATGTTTTAATGAAACAAAGGAATTTCAAATAATTGTTTTACAGTGCTTGTGTTTTACCAGATATTATAGACAATTTAAAAAAAAGTTTCAATCATTACAAATGTGGCATGTTGACATAATATATTTTTTGCATATTTTATAAATATTAAATTTAGGGACGCCCATGGCAAATGTTTTTAGTAACCACTTTGAAATCATAGTATTATAACTCTTTAAAAAATAATTTAGTATTAAAATTAATTATATTTATACAAAATCATACAAATACTTTAGAATATATTTATACTTGAATAAGTAATTATTTAGTAATTTTTTTTGATTTTTCAAAAATAATTTCTAAATTGGCGTTAAAATGTTTCACTGCATGATGATATCTAAACTAATTGATTAAATGTGTGTGAAATTATGTGTGTGAAAATAATTAACTTTTATTATTATAATAAAGGGTAATAAATTACAGCGCTATGGAACAAGAGAATCAGTGACCTGGTTTCGTATATATTAGACAATTGTTGTTCATTGTTATTATTATTTATTTACAATTATTTATAATTGTTATTTAAAGGTTATTAAAAAGTTACTAGATTATTAAAAAAAAATGTAAATAAAATAAGATATTCAAAATATTTTTAGTAAAATGAAAACATTCATACTTTTGTTGAGTGCTATTAATGCTGTTGCTTGTTACAAAACTGTTGTTCTTATTCATGGTGTCCTTAGTGATGCATCCCATATGATTGATATGAAAGGTATAATTGAGAAGCACCATCCTGGAACAAATATAATTTTGTTAAAACTATATCCTGAAATTGAAAGCTTTGTTCCTCTTCCAAGACAATTGCGATTTTGGAGTGAAAAACTAAAACCAATCATGCTGAACAATCCTGATGGAATTCATCTAATTTGCCATTCACAAGGTGGTTATTACTGCACTAATAATAATAATAATAATGATAGTTAAAATATATATGTATATATATATATATATATATATATATATATATATATATATATATATATATATATATATATATATTTATTTATTTATTTATATGGGGCAAAGTAGTCTAATAATGCTGGTCGCTTATAACCAGGGTTGGCACCCAAAAACCCACCTAAAATCCCAAGAGCAAAAACCCAACTTAATGGGTTTTTGGTTTTTGGGAACCCAACTTTATGGATTTTGTATTTATAATATTTTTATTCATAAATTAATTTCCATTCACACTCAAGATTTGATGCTGCTCAAAAATTGTTATAAAAATAAGAAGTTTAGAATCATAAATGAGACTTTATTCTATTTGGAGTAGAAATATTCAAACTTAAAGGTTCAAAACAAAGTTATCTAACAACTTAGTCATCAGCAATTGTTCATCTTGACCTTGATGTATGTAAATTTGTACAAGCATTGTTGCTTTTCCTCTTTCTAAAAGATTCCTAATTTTCCTAAATATCCTGATTCCCAAATCAGGCTTCATTTAACCATTTCTCGGCTTCTTTTTCTTGACTTCTATCCAAGGTTCTTTCATTCTTCAGCCATTCCTCAGCTACTTCTTCTTGACTTCTATCCAAGGTTCTTTTTAGATAAATAGAAAGTTTTTTATCAGCATTTATTTTAATTTGATCAAATGCAAGTTTTTAATTTTTTTACAATTTTATAGTCACCTTTACATTTTAGATCTGTTAAATTGGCCAAAAAATGATATAGAACAATTGTTTTCTTAAACCTCTAAAATATCATCTTTGTATCGTCTTGGATACTATGAGCAAATATAAAATCATTACTAAATGTACTCCAATCATCTTGAATTAGGATAACAGCACAATCATCATCAAGATCACATTTCATTATATTAATTATTTCTTCGTTTACCTATACTAAGAATTCTGAAGATATCTGTTTTCTATTCTATAGGTAATCAAGTCAAGTTTTTCTACTATGTTAAATGGTATATTTATTGAAAAAAAACAACCTTTTAACCTGCGAATCCAGTTCATTTTTCTGATTACTTGTTGTTGAAGTAACAAACTTAGAAACGGATGTTTACTGTTGCATCGTCATTGCAGTTAAATGAACAATTGACAAAGATTTACTAATAAAACTAAAGTAATCTTGATCATTATCTTCTTACTGGTTAGACTTGTTCGTTGCTGCAGATGTAGATGGTCTTGACTCTTAAACTGATGTATCGTTAAATACTTCTGCGGAATTCTTAGCAATTCCTTTTTTCTTACTTCTGAATTTATCAAAATGATCTTAACTCTCACTACTTTTATAATTATGCTCTCTTTGCAATGATTACATATTAATTTACTTGGTTGATCACTTAATATGGTCACTCATCCTACCCACTAGCCTAATTTCTTCACTCAAATTGATGCTTCGACGTGTTAATGTCACATAAAGGCATAGTTCAATTCTATTTTAAATTTGACTAAAAAGATAACTCAGGTAAACAATAAATTTATATTAGAAAAAAATGCAATATGATTATAAATTAAGCTTTTGTATTAGAAAATATAACTTTAAAAAGTGATAAATAGCTTTTAAATTACTATAAATTTATCAAACTTTATTACTAAAGATTTGAACGCAACTTTAGTAAAAACCCAAAAACCCAATTACCCACCAAAAAACCTAGTTGGGTTGGGTTTTTGGTCAAAAACCCGGGTTTTTACCAACCCTGCTTATAACACCCATTGTCTCAGGACTCCTTAAATCAATCATTTTGGAGTTAATAAATTGCATTTTTTGTGAACTGTCATCTATTTTGTTGTCATTTTGAGTCATTCATATTTATTTTATACAGTGTAAAGAGAATGATTTTGGACCAATATTTTTTTATCCTTGATCAAGTAAGTATCAACTTTATTTATATTTGATCTAATCATTTTTTTGCTTTTTTTCTTTGTTCATATGTGTAATACCATATTCAATTATTAAAAAAAGCAATGGTCACAATTATTAATTAAAAAACCCATTTTACATAAACAATGGTACTACTGCCAAAAAAAAAACCAGACCGCAATTCCAGACTTCAATATTGAAAAATAATTTTCAATATTGAAATAATTTGCAAAACCAGACTTCAATATTGAAAAATAATTTGCAATATTGAAGTTATGTATATATGTGTTGCGATTGCGCTCAAAGTCTGTAATTTACTGTTAGCTATTGTAATTTAATGTGAACATTTATTAAATAAAACAAAAAAATGCAAATTTTGAAATTATTTTATTTGAGAGAAACAAACTTATGATGTTTCTAAAGCTAAAAAGTAATACTAATTATCTAAATAAGATTTTTTTTTAAAGTGTTGTATTTACATAATAATAATAACCAAAGTATTAAAGGGTTGCATTATTAGACTTCTTTACCTTCATATATGTATATATATATATATATATATATATATATATATATATATATATATATATATATATATATATATATATATATATGTATATATATATATGTATATATATATATATATATATATATATATATATATATATATATATATATATATATATATATATATATATATATATATATGTATGTATGTATGTATGTATATATATATATATATATATATATATATATATATATATATATATATATATATATATACATATATATATTTTCTTATTTGATTTAATGCTAAAAATAAATAAGTATTTTAAGTTTTAGGGAATTTTCTAAATATTTTAAATAAATGCAGTTGATAAATTTTAGGGGGTCTCATATGCCTTGGTATTATTGAGCAATTTAAAGATCATAATGTGCATACATTAATTACTCTTAGTTCTCCGCTCTCTGGACAATTTGGAGGTTGTTAACAAATTATTTGTTTGTAAAGTATTACTTTAAATAAGGCTACATTTTGTGTTTGGAATAATTGCATAATAAAAGGGATTTTTTTTTTTTTTTTTTTTTTGCTATTTAACATTATTTAGTACCGGCTGAAATGGTACAATTTATACCCTGGCTAAATGGTACACGTGAGGCTTTATCTAAGTAAGTTTTATTGAAGGTATCAAATTACACTAAATTTGCTTTGAAATGAATTCAATATTTATTTGTTTTTTTTTTCTTTGAGATGTACATACTAGTTACACAGGGTGTTTTTGTGTTTAGATATATGTATACAGTAATTGCACAAGATACTTTTGCTATTAGTAATTATTGGAAAGGTAAATTAATGTTAAGCTATTATACTTTATGAACTTTTGTAAATTAAAGTTTTGTTAACAAGTTTAGATAAATATGAAGTATTGATTAAATATAGGTCACAAGAGTTTAGGTTGGGGCAGTATATATATATATATATATATATATATATATATATATATATATATATATATATATATATATATATATATATATATATATATATATATATATATATATATATATATATATATATATATATATATATATATATATATATATAGCCCTCAGCAGGTAGCGAGAGCTTTAGCCCTGGCCCACACTCCCCTAAAATGATTTCGGGGAGCAATTTACGGCTCTTATAACAGTATAATATTTTTTCTCAAAAGTAAAGTTGTTATTGAAACTAAAATAAAAAACGTAAAGTCATTTTTATGGCACAATAAATGCCGCATGTTGTGTATATATTCTTGTAACATTAACATTATAAATATATGCGTGTAACAAATATTAAACAAAATTTTGTATTTATTAAGCAATTTTTTTAATGAATAAACAGCTTGTGCCAAAAACCTCTCTCATAAGAAGCTGTTTAGAAGAGCAGCTCGCAGAGCTTTCTATGTTTGTTTTAGTAGAGCTTTTCTCTGCTCTCGCACTTATTTACTTCTGCCGAGGCCTATATATATATATATATATATATATATATATATATATATATATATATATATATATATATATATATATATATATATATATATGTATTTATGACTCTTGCAAAACTATTTTTTTTCATAAACATGTACTTTTTTTCTCTATTAATAAAATTAAAATTTTAATGCAAACACACTGTTAACTACTTTTTTTTTGTTTTTCTCAAACTCATATATATAATATGAAGTTATGCACTAAGTTACTGTGTAATAATTTTTATATTATATAATGAATTTTATATTTTATATACTTATTATAATTTTTAAATAATTTATATAAATTTGTCTCAATTTGAGCAAAATAAAAAAACATATTGTGTAATTAAATGCTCTGCTTAAAAAAATTGTAATTTTAGCACTTTTGTTGTGGAATCTTTTATTGCACTCATTTTCTCCCGCCGAGGCCTGTTTATATGTGTGTGTGTCTCGCTGGCTTTTTCAGATAAATTTGTTTGTTGTTTATTTGACATAAACAATACTTACAATTTGTTTCCTAATATATACATACATATCTTAGTGGACTTATTTTGGTACTGTCCTAGCATAATTTGCACTCCCTAATTTTTTAAATGCTAATTTTAATCCAGTCATTGTTTTTTTATTTTAAATATGTTTTAAGGAAGTGAAAATGCACTCTCTTAGCCAATAATTTAAGTAAAAACAGCCGTGCAATTATTTTTAAGTAAAAACAGCAGTATAGTTATTTTTAAACAAAAACAGCAGTGCAATTATTTTTAAGTAAAAACAGCAATATAATTATATTTAGATCCTAGAGAAGAATATTTACACTTTTATGAATCATATGCAAGCTATCTTCCTCTTATTGAAAACAATCCTCGCTGTAAGAAAGTTATTCATGAAGGTAAAAAATCTTTTCCATTCAGAAAAATATAAAAATATACATGTTAAATGATTAAATGTTATATAATTGTTTGGATTTAAATCTATGGAAAATAAGTTTCAGTTTTGGATGATCTTTTTGTTACAAAAAGATAAAAATAATTATTATCAAATTATTTAAACAAGAGAACCTGTATAGACAACTTTTTTTGTCTATATGCGCATGTAAAAATTACATTCTTTCGCACACACAGTAGTGTAAAAGATATTAAAATCAATTCGAAATTTTTGTGATTTACTCAGATAAGTTTTAACTTTTTTTTTTTTTTTTTTTAACTCAGTTAAGTTTTTTTAACTTTTAATTTAGTTAATGATAAAAGGGTTGTTTTTTTTTTTTTTTTTATTTTTTTTTTTTTTTTTTTTTTTTTTTTACTTTCAGGAAGTAAAATAAAGATAAAATGAGATTTAAAATAAAAATGAGATTTTAATGACTTTATCAAAGCCTATGCTTTATAATCTTTAAACACTTTATCAAAGCCTATGCAATTTTTGCGTAAATTGTTAAGTAACTTTATGAAAATTTGCAGACAGTTTTAAAATGTCTATTATAACGTATTTTATAATTGCTTTTCAAGTTTTTATGACTATGAGACAGTATATTTTATTAACAATTTACTTTCTAGTGTTTCACCTGAATTTTTTGAATTGTTAATTTTATTCTCTGATTTAAATAGCATTGTAAGTAATAGCCACTGATCCAAGTCCAAAAAAAAGAATGAATGTTTAAAGTCCTGCTAAAATCCAGTCCTGTTAGCTCATTCAAAAGCAGCTCATTCTGTCACAAAAAATTTTGAAAAGTTTTGAATGTCTGATGTTGTCTGTAAAATGCTCAAACTCTGGTTGGATCTTCAATAACAGCTTGTACAAAATGAATTTTTTTTTTGAAGTAATGATAAAAATATAAATGCAAAAAAAGCATCTTCAAGGTTTAAAAGAGCATCATAATATCAGTATTTATACTAGCTCTGTAAGGTGTCATTTCATCCAGTTGCTGACCAAAGAAAATCTTGCTGATGAATAATACACAAAATAATTTAAAAAACATAATGAGTTATCAGTATGCAAAGAATGATAAATTGTTTGTTAATTGAAGTAAATTAAATTTGTCTGTACTATTTTATTTTTTCTATTTATTTTTATTGTTATATTTATTTTTTTATTTTTGTGCTACAAAAAAATTGACTCAACTTTAACAGATTTAAATTAAAAATTAACCTAAACAAAAAAATAATTCTGAAAATGAATTATTAAAAATGATGTCAAAAGAACAAGGTAACTGTGAAGGAATTTTTTACACTTTTACTTAGAAAATTATATACATAAAACTTTTTTAATTATCCTTGATATTAACAAAATTCTTTATAAACAATATTCAACAATATTCTTAATGATAAAATTTGCCAGGCTAGATTTCAGACAAATACATGGTCACAAATTTTTTACTTAAGCTTGGAGTGAGTAGCGAAATAAAAATCTTTACATAATGCAAGATTAAAATCCCTGTAAACGTTTTCCGTAAAATTTTACAAATTGTTTGATATGCGCTATCACTTGTGTTGGTTACATTAACTTGTTTAACATTTTGTGCACGGTGTTAAAATATGTGCATAAGGAATTTCATTTCCTCGCAAAATGAATTGAAAACAAGTGAATGTCGTAGGTTTAAGTAAGCAAAAAAAAAAAATAAAAAAAAATAAATTAAGACATTGCAAGCCCTATATTTTCACTATATATAGTTTATATAGGTTAGCTTATTGTCAATTTTAAAATTAGGATATAATAAATTAAAAGTTATAATAAATTAAAAGTTATATAACGTTAAGTAACTTGAATGTGTTTAATTTGAAACAAGAAAAAAGAAATAACTTTATTTGGTATAGTGTTATTTGATACTGTTATGGAATTTTTTTGGTATGGTATTATTATGGTGTTGATTTTGGTATGATATTATTTAAAATAATTAAACAACATATCGTCAGCCAAGAACCAAGAGGCCGTATGTCCATTTTTTGTATTTCCAAGAAAATATTTATATTTGTAAAGACTTTACAAATATAAATATAATTAAGTTTATCTAGCTAAATGGTTCAATTACACGAAGATGGGATAAAGGTTTTGTAGTGAAGTAACAAAAAGTTTTAAAAGTATCATACTTTTTTAAACAAAAGAAGCAAAATTCATAATGACAGTCTTTCCTCTGTCATAAACCATAAAAAATATTAAATACATGAAAAAAAATGCAAGTATCAGTTTTTGGTTCATTGACGATCAATAAAAATAAGATATGTAAGATAAAAAAAAAAATTTTTAACAAAAAAATATTTCAGATATAGTTTTCATTGAATGATCATTTTTGTATTCTAGTAAATTAAAAAATTAGAAATCAATAAAACGATAGGTTGATACGATTAGAAATGATTAGGTTCGAAGAATGAATCTTATAACCATTTAAAATGTTACAAAAAACATCAAGATTTATTCATGCGCAAATTATTTATTATAAAGTGTTTGTTTTTTTAAGAGTTACCATAAGCACACAGTTTACAACAAAAAGCACTATTTTTTTAAACAAAAAGCACATCTTTGTAAGCTAGTATTTAAGTGTTGCTCACTAAGGGTTTTTTTTTTTTCAGAAGCCATTGAACGAAAAAAAAATTTTTTGAAACTAGAAAATCTTGTCTTAATTGGTGGACCTCAAGATGAAGTTATCAAACCCTGGCAATCTAGGTTGTAAAAATGAATTTTATTTCAAATTTTTTTTAATTAGTAAAGTTTATTACATATCTCAGAATCCAATAAGATTTCAGCATTGCTACTTTTAAAACCGAAATTCAATAACTAAATATATTTTAAGAAAATTAGGTTTCTTAATTTATTTGTTAATTGTATACTTTTAAATTTATGTTTTAATAAGTACGTTGCCTCTAATTAGTTAGTATATGACGTTGGATTCGCAAAATTGTTAGGGCTCGTCCATAAAGTATGTACGCTTTTTTTTCATCCAACCCCCCTCCACCAATCCCCGCATTTTACAATACAATTTTTTGAATATCCTCCACCTTCCTAAAAGTACCTACACTTTTAACCTATTTATCTAACATTTTATGATATTTTTTCAAATTTCTCCTTTCTTTTATAATTGACCCACTGCCCTTGTCCTTATTTAAGTCGGTAAATTATACATGTTAGAAATCACATAGATACGTGTTGAAAGTCATGCGTTATTTCAATTGTAATTAAAAGTATTCTCATGAGACTTTTTTTTATTTTGTATATATAGAGACGATTTTTGTGTAGAGTTAGTGAGGTTAGAAGAAAGCTGTAAATTAATACGTTTTGTTTATTCAATTCATGGACGCGACGATCCAACAAGCTATTTGGCAATTATGCCACCGGTATTCGATGGCAACCATCAGCGGTTTGTCCGCCAACTACGAACATATATAACAGCAATGGGCGTAACCCAATACAAAAGGAAAACAATAATATTAACATGTTTGCCACCACAGATTTATTCTGCACTGGAAGGTTTATGCTTGCCTGCATACCCAGAAGATGACTCAGTTACCTACGAGGAAAACATCATAAAGCTTTTTAAACCAAAGCCCTTGGGGCTTTGGTTTAAAAAGGTTTCCCCTTGGGGCTTTGGTTTTTTTTATTTATATAATAAAAATTATATTTTTATTATATAATAATTTTTCTTTCCTTATTCTTTTCCTTTTTTTTTAAAAAATTTCCTTATTTTTTTTTAAAAATTTCCTTATTTTTTTTTCCTTATTTAAAAATTATATTTTAATTATATTTTTTTCCTTATTTAAAAATTATATTTTTTATATAAAATTATATTTTTTATATTCCTTATATTTTTTTCCTTATTTAAAAATTTCCTTATTTTTTTTTTAAAATTTCCTTATTCTTTTCCTTTTTTATTATATAATAATTTTTCTTTCCTTATTCTTTTCCTTATTCTTTTCCCTTGGGGCTTTGGTTTAAAAAGGTTTCCCCTGCCTTGGGGCTCTTGGTTGAGTAAAGGCTAGAGATGGTGTCTCGATAAAAATACTCATCTTGGGCAGATGTTAACTGCATCCTGCTACTGTCTTGTAGAAGGCCTCCTAGGCAAAGACTTTAGGGGTAAGCAGAAAAATTCTGCTAACCAGCCTCGAACCCCTTCTTCATCTATTAGGCTGGCGTAGATGTAACCTGTGTTACATTGTTTCCTGCCTAGGATGATGAATGCTGGATCTCCTTGACTCTACTCATAGAATTTTGCTTATGCCTCCTTGATAATGGCTATGCAACTCTTTCTGTTATCTCCATATGAGGGTACAGCTCTAAAACTCAGTTTAATGGTTCTGAGGCCGGCTGGTAGTAAGGTTTCCCGAACTCTGTGGTAGCTCTCAGAGAGGCTGATTCCATCAACAGCTGCAAAATATCAGAGTATTAACAGTGCCATGTTGCGCATGGATGGTGTCCCTGTTAATGCTTTTGGTGTGCATTGTCAAGGCCACATAAGGAGCCCTATGTCACGGCTTAGGGTTAATTAACAGGACTGAGACAACTGCATAGCTCATTGATTAGGAGGCTGTGCTCTATCTATGAATGAGTCAAGTTCTCATTAAACCCAAATCATGACCAAAGTAACCAAAAATTTAAAACCTAAAAAACCATCCCCACCACCTAAATATTTTAATATATCTTTTACAAATATTCGCGGTCTACGAAGCAACTTTCCATCAGTTGAGTCTTACCTCCTGCAAAATTCACCAGACTTCCTTGCACTCAGTGAAACAAATTTAAGTTCTGCAATTCCTTCTTCAGATGTCAGTGTTGATGGGTACTATCCTTTGATTCGTAAAGACTCCAATAGTCACATGCTAGGTTTAGGGGTATACATACGCATTAATTCCCCTATTTGTCGTGAAATCAGGTTCGAATCCTTTGACCATTCTTTTATGCGCTTTCGCCTAGCACCTCTTCACTCTATCACCTTTCTCTTTGTTCTTTATTGTTCTCCTTCTTCCCATGATTGCACTCTTTTAGATGTTATCTCTGATCAAATTGACCATGCCCTCTCTCTTTACCCCTCTGCCAATATTGTTGTTGTTGGTGATTTTAATGCCCATCACACTGAATGGCTTGGCTCTAACACCACTGATCCTGCTGGCACTAAAGCCTTTAACTTCTGCGTTTCTCAATCTCTTACTCAGATAGTTAACTTTGTGACTCGTTTTCCTGACAACCCTAATCATTTACCTTCACTCCTTGACTTATGTCTTGTCTCTGACCCTAGCTTATGTTCAGTTTCTCCCTTTTCTCCCTTAGGTGGTTCTGACCATGCAATGATCTCTATAAATCTTTCTTCTCGTACTTCTTTTTTGGGCTCACCTTATCATCGCACCACCTACTACTACCCTAAAGCTGACTGGGATTCCTTTCGTGATTTTCTTCGTGATGGTCCTTGGGCTGATGTTTTTTCTCTCTCAGCTGACAAATGTGCCTCCTACGTAACCTCCTGGATTCAGGCTGGAATGGAAGCTTTTATTCCTTCTCGTCGGTTTCAGGTCGAGCCTCATTCTACTCCATGGTTTTCTCCTTCTTGTGCGGCTGCTATATCCAATCGTAACCATTTTTTTCATCTTTTTCAAAAGAACAACTCTCTTGAGAACAAACGGCTATTTATTACTGCAAGAAATCGATGTAAAAAGGTGCTTTCTTATGCTAAACTCCATTATTTTCAGTTCACTAAATCTCGCATCTTATCGCAGAAGTTAGGCTCTAAAGACTTTTGGAAAATCTTCAACAGCATTGTTAACAAGGGTAGATCTAACATTCCATCTCTCATTCATGTGACTGATCTTGTTACCTCTCCCAGGGATAAGGCAGAACTGTTTGCAAAGAACTTTTCTTCTAATTCCACTCTTGAATCTTATGGACATTCTCTTCCTTCCATTCCAGTCAAACAGGTTGACCCATTGTTAGACATTCATATCACTCCGGCTTCTGTTGCTAAAGTCATATCTCAATTAAACTCGTCTACAGCTTGTGGTCCAGACAACATTCCTGTCACAGTCTTGCAGAATTGTTCTCCAGAACTTTCTTCAATTCTCTCTAAACTATTTAACAAGTGTTTGACTGAGTCTTGTTTTCCTGCTTGTTGGAAAATGGCATCTGTGGTTCCAATATTCAAAAACTCTGGAGAAAATTCTGACCCCTCCAATTATCGTCCGATCAGTCTTCTTTCTGTTATTAGCAAGGTCTTTGAGTCTTTAATCAACAAATTCCTCACATCTCATCTTGAGTCAAATAAACTGCTGTCAGACAATCAATACGGTTTTCGATCCTCTCGCTCTACGGCCGACTTGCTAACTGCTGTAACTGAAAGATTTTATCGTGCATTAGATGAAGGCGGTGAGGCTAGGGCTATTGCTCTCGACATATCTAAAGCTTTCGACAAAGTTTGGCATGCTGGTCTTCTCCATAAGCTTGCTTCATATGGTGTTTCTGGGAAAGTTTTTGAGATTATCAAATCATTTCTTTCTGACCGGTTTATTAAAGTCATCCTTAAAGGCCAACACTCTTCTTTTTTTCCAGTAACTTCTGGGGTTCCCCAAGGTTCCATCCTGGGCCCTGTTTTGTTTCTTATCTACATAAACGATCTTCCTGACAACCTTTCATCTAAAGTAGCTCTTTTTGCTGATGACTCAACTTTATACTCCTGTCTTGACAAAAAGTCTTCTCTTTTCGATCGCCTAGAACAAGCAGCTGATCTTGAATCTGATCTCACTTCAGTAATAGATTGGGGTTCACAGTGGCTTGTGAATTTCAACTCTAAAAAAACCCAATTGCTTACTGCAAACAACTACCGTAATATGGTCAACATTCCTATATTAATGAATGGCAATCCTCTTACTGAGTCGTCCTCTTTACGTCTTCTTGGATTATCGCTTACTACTGACCTTTCATGGAAACCATATATATAATCGATTGCTAAATTAGCTTCTGCTAAGGTTGCTTCCCTTTATCGTGCTTGCCATTTCCTTACTTCTGATTCCATTCTCTACCTCTACAAATCTCTTATTCGTCCCTGTATGGAATACTGTTGTCATATTTGGGCTGGTTCTTCTAACGATTCACTTTCTCTTCTTGACAAGGTCCAAAAACGCATTGTAAATGTTGTTGGACCTGGACTATCTGCTAAGCTTGAACCTCTTTCCCATCGTCGTAAAGTTGCATCTCTTTCTCTTTTCTACAGATACTATCATGGTCACTGCTCAAAGGAGTTATCATCTCTAGTTCCATCAACTAAAATTCATTCTCGTTTTACTCGTCATTCAGCTAAGTCTCATTCGTTTTCTGTATCTGTCCCTGCATGCTCTAAAAACTTTTATTCATCTAGTTTTTTTTCCCGCACTTCAATCCTTTGGAACTCTCTCCCATCTTCATGTTTTCCTGACTCATACAACCTTCAACTTTTTAAGTCTTCTGTCAACCGTTTCCTTGCTCTTTAACTCTGTTCTTTTTTTTCTAGTAACTCCCAACTTAATAGTGGTTGCTTGCAGCCTTGTTGGGAGTGAATGCAAATAAAAAAAAAAAAGTCATCGTTAATACTACCCTTTGAATTTGCAACTATAAAAAAAGCAAGTAACGAAAGTGTGATGGAATTTTTACGACAGATTGCAAGAGCTGCTGAAGGATGCAAATTCATGGATAGAGATGATCGAATGCGCGACCAATTCATTATGGAATTTAACGATGGTGTTACAATCAAACTGGAATCTGAAGAACTAACGTTTGCAAAGGCTGTGAAAATTGCTGTTACCCTTGAAAGAGTAACCCAGGAAGCTCGACAATTAGATGGTTCCGATAATTTAATGATTGCGGCAACATCGTTACTTCCAAAGACATCTAGTGTGTCCGACACAAACAAAGTTACATGTTTCAGTTTTGGAAAGCTTGGACATTTTGCACGGGACTGCGAAGCAAAATGCAGGACTTGTTCACACAATCATCAAGCTAAATTTATTACAACTTTGGGAGGAGCTGTGCAAGTGCTGGGTGAAATGGTAATCAAATTAGAAATTGATGGAATACACCGGATTGTTAATTCTCTGGTTGTAAAAGAAAAACCATTGGGGTTTGATTTGATTTTGGGAATGAATGCGATTGAAAAATTTGGAGGAGTCATCATTTATGGTAATAAAAACCGTATTGTCCGAATGTTAGCATGTGACACAGCGAATGTGGTACCGTTACTACTACGATAAAAAACGAAAACGAAATAAACGTAACAAAATGTGATGTCAAAAATACAAATGAAGGAAACAAAAGAAACGAAATAAAATGTGTCGTTACTACAACGATAAAAAACTAAATAAACGAAAGGTCAAAAAAACAAATGAAGACAACAAAAGAAACGAAATAAAACATCAGGACTTCGCAGCAAATTTTGACGGGAAAAAGTGGAGGGCATTATGGAATTGGAATAAAGACCCTGTAATTGATAATACCATTAGTGAATACAAGATGAACCACGAGTACAAACGTAGTTACCGCAAAGAAATGAATGGATTAATTCTAACATTCTTGTACCATATAACGAACTAACATTGGGATTACCTAAAGTATTGATACCGCTTATGTGCGTAGTGCAAGAAAATAAGGACAAAAAGGTACGTCCAGTGGGAGATTTCCGAGCTCTCAACGAATTTGTAAATTGTCACACAGCGAATTTGATAATTGTCACACAGGGAATACGTTTGTCAAGAAAAATTGCGTTGTTGGAGAAAAATTAAAAATGCAAAAATACTTGATCTTAAAAAAGCCTACCTCTAAATTCATATTGATAAAAGACTTTGGCCATATCATACGGTGATTATAAATGGGAAACGATATTGTTTTACCAGAATGTGTTTTGGCATTAATGTGGCTCCAAAAATAATGACCACAGTTCTTCGGCATGTGCTCAATATAAATCCAACTGTAAAGAAAGCATGTGATAACTACATTGATAATATATTTGTGAAAGTGTGGAAACCGCAGAAAATGTAGTGAAGGACCTGCATAAATTCGGGTTACAATATAAACCTCCACAAAATCTTGAACAAGGACGTGTCTTAGGATTGAGAGTCGAAAGAAATAAAAATGGGGAATTGATATGGAAACGAGACAATGTGGTACGATTTGAACTTTTAAATGCAGTCACACGATCACAGCTTTTCAGCAAGTTAGGTAAACTCATTGAACATTACCCAGTGACAGGAAGTTTGCGTTTACAAGCTTCATACATCAAATGTTTAGCTGGAAATATACCTTAGTGTGATTTTATTTCTGAAGGTTGTAAAAAAAAAATTGAAAGATTTGCTTCACCATGTGAAAAAAGAGGATCTGGTTGGTGGAAAATGGTTGGTACCAGTGAATGGAAAAGCTGAGCTTTATTGTGATGCATCATCCATTTGACTTGGGGTAGTTCTGCTCATTGGTGGAGTAGTTGTTGAAGGCGCAGCATGGCTACGGCCAGCAAGTGACACACACCATATCAATATAAGTGAACTGGATTCGATACTTCGAGGACTAAACTTAGCTAGTAAGTGGGATATAAAAGAGTTAAAAGTATACAGTGATAGCAAGAGCACCGTAGGATGGTCAAACGCAGTTTTGAAGGAAGAATATTGCGTAAAAACTCGGGGAATTTCACAATTGTTAGTACAGAGACGATTAAATACTACTAAGGAAGTGGCAAAAAGTATCCAGATTGTAGTACAATGGATTCCATTCAAAATAAATTTGGCTGATCGACTCTCATGAATCCCTCAAAAATGGTGCAGAACAGTGTGTGCGCTGGATTACCTGAACAAAAAGACATATGGAAAATTCATTTGATTGGTCACTTTGGTGTCGCTCGAGCATTACAACTTTGCTTGCAAAATAACCAGTATGTATCACGTAAAGGAGGTTTCAGCAGTAATAGCAAATTGTAATCAGTGCAACTCCATCGATCCTTACTCCGTACAAGGAAGCATGGTCAACTAAGCGTAGAAAAAAATTGGAATCGGGTTGCCATTGACGTGACCCATGTAGGTGGTGAACTGTACTTATTGATGATTGATTGTAGTCCATCACGATATACAATATGGCGTAAACTAGTAACTAAAACAGCTACTGAAGTTGTTGGTAAACTTGAAGAAATATTTTCTTTATTTGGACCGCCAGTATGTCTTCTAATGGACAACGAATTTTGATCCAACACGTTAACAAGCTTTCCTGAAGAATGGAATGTTAATTTTGAATATCGAGCAGCACATCGAGCTCAAGGTAATGGTATAGTTGAACGCATACACAGAACGATAAAAGGAACAGTTACTCGCTCACATTGTTCAATCGCTCTGGCAGTCTTGCTGTACAACGAGACAATATCCAATTGTACTGAAAGTCCATCCGAGCAATTCAAGAAAAAACCAACTTGTTTCATCCCAGGTATCGATACTCGGACAAAAACAGACAAGAAGGTGTAAATACGAAATTCGAAGAGGGAGACAAGGTGTGGGTAAAGCCAACTCAAGGAACAAAATGTGACCAACCGTGGATACCAAGTGTAGTGCGAAAGCAAAATAATTTATCGTTTGACGTCGACCTACGGCGTACAGACCTACAGAGTTCAAATGAACCAGCCAACGATGTTTTGTACAGACTAAAAGATAAAACCGATAACGCTAAAGAAGATATCACGATGATATCACTCAAGTTCAAAATGACTCTCAAGAACATAACGTGCTGCAAGTAACACACTCCGGACGAACATTAAGGCCCCCACAAAGATTGGACTTATGAGTTAATTCACCAAGAGGGCGTGTTCTAATTTTAACTTGATGAATTATACGTGTGTTAGAAATCACGTAGATACGTGTTGAAAGTCACGCGTTATTTCAATTGTAATTAAAAGTATTCTCATGAGACTTTTTTTAATTTTGTATATATAGAGACAATTTTTGTGTAGAGTTAGTGAGGTTAGAAGAAAGCTATAAAATAATACGTTTTGTTTATTCAATTCATGGACGCGACGATCCAACAGCCCTCCCGTCTCATATACGCCATTTGCAGACCCCCTCTTCCCCTCCCAGCGGACGTACTTTATGGATGATTCCTTATCGGTAATGATGTAGAATTCATCAGAAATTGAATGCATATTCAACATTTTTGGAATTATTGTATTAAAAGTTGACAATTTTGTCATACCTAAAAGTAACTATTTTTTATCTTTAGTTTGTTTGGTTTTTTTGATAGCGATCTAAAGGTGGTTGACATGGCAAATCAAACTGTAAGAACTTATTGTTTATAAGAAATAATTGAAAACGATTGATTAAATTTTTAAAACTGTTTTTAATATATTGTCATTTTATTCGTTGTTAACTCATTTCTAACAATGCGTAATGCATTAGGCAAGTCAATAATTTTTTATGAAATCTTTTCAAATATTATGGTATCATTTTATAAAAATTTATTTTTATAGATATTTATTAAATGATTCTTAAATATTAATATCATGGAGCTCTAAGACTTCAAAGTCCTGGTAAAAATAATAAATATTTGATACTTAATCTCAGGGTGTTTCGTGGGAATTTTTTGCGAATAGGACTGTTTTTTAAAACATGGCTTTTCTAATATAAAAATTAAAATTAATTCAAACTTTTGTGTGTGAAAGCAAACACTTGGTTTTGTGACAATGGCTTTAAAAGTCTTCTTAAACGAAAGTTCCTATTCAGTGCTTGTTGGATATTTTAAAATTTTTTTACTTTTAAAACTAAAAGAGTCATAATTGTATTTGGGTTATGTTTACAAAATTGTATTTGGGTATGCTTACATGACTTTTTTAGTGATGTGATATAAAGTGATATAGTTTAAAATACATTGACGTGTTTAATTATTTTTACTGTAAATTAGATTTTTTTAGATGTTTATTGAAGATTGGTTTGGTCTTCGTACATTGTATGAAAGAGGCAAAGTTTATTTATTTACCATACCAAACGTACGTCATGAGGAATGGCATGGTGACGAGAATGTTTTCGAAATTGCAATGAAAAAGTTTTTAGTTTAAGTACAACATTCCGGAAAAAAAAAATTTTATTTCTTGTATTTAGTTATCAATTTTTATATAAATAGTTGTTTTTTTTCTTTCATTATATAATTTTTCTTTCGTTATATCATTTCAATATTTCATTCAATAATAATCTGTTTTTTACCATTAATATAACATAAAATCATTATCTAATTACATAATTACATAAAATAATTTTTTTTAAAAAAAATGTCTTTTTTTCAACAGGTATAATAGAATTTTTTTTTTTCTTAGCCATTGATTTTAATTACTTAAAAAGGTCATATATTTGTAAATTATAAATATTATATCAAACTATTGTATATTTTATAGATAATGTTTTTACAAAAAATTAATATATAAATTTTTTATATTATTTCAGACGATGATTATCATTAAAGAGCAAATGTACTATTGTTATTATTATTATTTTTTACTTTTGTAAATTTGTATATGGTTATGTAAATACGTTATATTCTACGCTTTTTGTGAGTGTCGATGTAATTTTTTAAAATATAAAAAATTATCTTGTGTTTTTTGCAAATTTTTTTTTTAAAAAAAAAAAAAGGATAAACTAACTTTAGTAAAAACTGCTTAAATTAAAAAAAAAAAACACGTTTTCGTAAATCTATTTAGATATTTTAAGCATAAAGGTTTTGTAACATTTTTTAAAAGAAATACCTATTTAAATATGAATCGCAATGAAAAGTTCTAGAAAGTTTTTATAAACTTAATGATTCCGGTGTTTAGCCTCAAACGCAAAATTTAACCGCCTTTAAAGTTAAAATTGCTGCAATGCACAGTGGTGCAAAACCTCAAAAAATTTACCATAATTCAAAATTTTTCAAAACATATAATTAATTTTTTTATTTCTTTTAAATGAATTATATTGCTTATATTATCAAATATATATAGGTTTGTTATTTATGTTTAACAGGACCGCTATACAGATTTGAAAGACGTCATTTGCAATAAATTTTCATTAAATTAGTGCAGAAGTTAAAATTTCATTTTTTTTTTTTTTTTTTTTTTTTTAATAATTCATAAACTAAAGTTGTTGTTTTTTGTCAGTTCATTTAAGATATCTTAACTTCTACGTCAAAAATATTTCACTTACTTAAAGTGAAGAAAAACTTTCAAAAATTACTGCAAAAAAATGCAGCATTTTGAATTCGCTGTTCAATTTTTTGAGGTTTATTTGCATTGGTTTTGGGTGGTAAGACATTTTAGTCTTCTACGTGTCTCCCTTTTCTTTTAATCTGATTGAAGAAATTTTTCAATATTTTTTAAAATCATTTTATATCTTAAAGAAAAATATTTTAACTTAGGTTTTATGTTTTTTATTTGTAAGTATTTTGTTTATTTATTCTCATGTAAAACCGTCGTTTGTTTTTTTTTCCCCATCCACAAGCATTATTTTGGTTGTAAAGTTGGTATTCATAGTAAAACTTGGAAACATTATGTAAAATGTACTATTTGCTTATCTGCGTTGTTCAAGCAGAAAGCGTACATTTTTATTGTTTGGTTTATTAATAAATCAAAAGTCCCAAAGCAGCACACTACGTTGGGTCAACGCCAGCAGAGCGTCAAAATTATTACGTCTAATCGGTCACAAATTAAGTTGAACTTTTAAAAGCGGTGCAAAGTTTTTTAATACTGCGTGAGCCGGAAAAAATGCGGATCCAGGATAAAGTACCAATTAGACATCTTTAAAGGAAAAGTTATTTAAAAAGAAACGTGTAAATGAAGTCAAGAAACAAACAATTTATTAAATCCTTATTGTTGGAATTCCATCCAATCAAGTTTCCAAGCTCTGGGTGTACATAGAGTAACAGATTTTCGTGTTCAAGCTCGTTTTCAGATTTGTGGACATGTAGAAAGAAAAAAAAAGGCAGTAGAAGACCAAGATCTAAACGAATACCAGCAGAAATTAGAGCTGTAAAGGCTAGGCTTGTTAGAAACCTCGTGAGATCAATCAGGATGGTGTCCAAGGAAATGAACATGGGAAATACAATAATAAAAACACATTTAAAAGCTGATGTTGGAGATAGGTTGTTGGCTTGAACTGCCAAACCATTACTCACTGCACCTAACATAAAAAAAGGTTGAACAGATGCAACCATGTTCTTGCTTTTCTTAAAAAAGATTATATTGTTTTTAGATTTAAACAAAAAAAAAACTTTTTACAGTAAACAAAACCTCAAACCGTTGAAATGATAGAGTTTAGTCAGAGGAGATGCTGATAAACTTCCTGACTCCTGTTTAAGACAAAACATCGTAGTCACTTTTACCGACACAGGTTTAAGACAAAACATCGTAGTCACTTTTACCGACACAGGTTTAAGACAAAACATCGTAGTCAAGTAATGGTTTTGCTGTAATTTCCTCAGACGGACAAAAAATGCCTTTGGTTTTTGTTAAAATTTTTTTTGTTAAATGCAAGACTTTTTGTAATGTTTGGTGCTCTAAGTTTCAAAATTTAAGACTTCAATTGCATCTACTATTTCTTTCACATTAAGTTAGCTGGGGCAAATAAGATTAAGCTCTCTGAGTTGATGGATATGGTATAGACGGTTGTGTGTTTTTAAAACTCTTGAATTATACCAAAAACCCAATCACAGAGTAGAAAACTATGACCTTTTGGTCACTGGCGGCCAAAAAGTTGAAACTCGCTGTATTGCTGTATGTATATAAAAAGTAAGTTTACAAAGATTCAATAAAAAAAAGCTGCTCATACTGAAATCAAGATTTTTTTGACAGAAGAGTTGCCACTTTGTCTTTATATTGACATTGAGGTAATACATTTTTGTTCCTGAATATTGCGGTTCCTTGAGTTAAAATGATTGTATGCGGTTACTTACAATGTAATAACCTTATTAATCTTTTTCTCCGTAATTGTTTTTCACTAATACTTAGAATAAAAATGCATTACAACATACCTATACATGTACATTACATGGTAGAAGAAGCTGTTTGACTGCTTTGGTTGTTTGACATTCTTTTAGTGAGTCATTCTTCTTTGAACTTTAGTGGCGTCTATTAGTGCTTGGTTATACAAATCTTGCTCATCTTTGCTTTTTATATCATAAAAGTTTGAAAAAATATCCTCACAGTTGCTGTCTTCACAGCCTTTTGAACATTATTTTTTGCACCCAATGAAAATCTTGAGTTAAATGTTGGCCTAAAAACTGAAAACTAGAGTTTCTATTAGAAACTCTAGTTTAGAAACTATTAGAACATTATGTAAAACAACATAATTTATTCAAACATTATGAAACTAGAACATTATGTAAAACAACATAATTTATTCAAACATTATGAAACTAGAACATTATGTAAAACAACATAATTTATTCAAACATTATGAAACTAGAACATTATGTAAAACAACATAATTTATTCAAAATCACATAATAAGGCCATACACAGGTCAACCTGTTTCTTTCATTTCGTTGCTCAAAGTCGGGGTCTATGTTCTATGGATGTACACTTGCGTGTTAAAATTTAGTGAAATCAAAACATAAATGTTTACAATATGAAAGACCATATTTTCTTATAATAAGTATTTTTCTGTTCTTACATTTCGTTCACGCGTGTTGTGTTTAAGATTTATCGATAGAACTATTATTTTTTAATTTTACGTGTAAATTATGGAATGAATTTTTCAATACCGTTTTAGCAAAAGCAAGAGTCTAATGGTATAATGCAAAGTCTTAATGGTATGGTTAATCTTAAAATGCGGTAGTGGTGTAGTGGTAAAACACTCGCTTCATAAGCGAGAGGTTCCGAGTTCGATCCCTGGTAGTACCGCGCTCAACTTGTTTCTCCGCGCAGCGGCCTTGTTCGTCAAGGTTCGTGTTTCGGAGTTATAGAGTTAAGAGAGGGTTATAACCACTATTTAGTAGCCTTCTTGTCTGTAGTGGCCTTCTCGGCCTTGAGGAGGTGAATAACTAAAAAAAAAAAAAAATGGTATAATGCAAAATGTTACATTAAAAAAAACCGACAAACATTCTTTAAAAAAACATAAACAAATGGCGGACTCTAAAACATGTTTGATTCATTTTAACGATGTTGTTAATAGCAACGACCTTGTAAAATTTCTTCAAACTTCTTTTAAAAGATTCATATTTTTGAAAAGCTTGGAGAAATATAAATGGTAGCCATAAAGAAGTGTCTGTTAAAAGTTATCCTTATTTTAGCGAAGAAGATGAAGTACAGCTTCAACAACAACAGATGAAGAGCAAGAACAAGAACAAATTCTTGTTGATTTAGATTCAGTTCAGAACAGTTTTTGGTATCACTGTTCTTGTTACCAGAAATTTTCAAATAAAATTATTTTAGAAAGGAATTTGAAAAAAAAAATTGAATAAAGCAAAGACGAGCATCAAAATTGTTCACAACAGAACAATACTTTAGCTTTAATAGAGACTAATAAACTTTTTGATTTATAAAGAAAAAGTGAAAGATTGTTATCAGTTGAAAAAAAACAAACAATTGAAGTCTTTTAATTTATTATCAAAAGTATGTATCATCTGTAATATTATCAAAAGTATGTATCATCTGTAATATTATCAAAAGTATGTATCATCTGTAATAATAAAAAAAGTATGTATTATCTGTAATAATATCAAAAGTATGTATCATCTGTAATATTATCAAAAGTATGTATCATCTGTAATAATAGCAAAAGCATGTATCATCTGTAATATTATCAAAAGTATGTATCATCTGTAATAATAAAAAAAGTATGTATTATCTGTAATATTATCAAAAGTATGTATCATCTGTAATAATAAAAAAAGTATGTATCATCTGTAATAATAAAAAAAGTATGTATTATCTGTAATATTATCAAAAGTATGTATCATCTGTAATATTATCAAAAGTATGTATCATCTGTAATAATAAAAAAAGTATGTATCATCTGTAATATTATCAAAAGTATGTATCATCTGTAATAATAAAAAAAGTATGTATTATCTGTAATAATATCAAAAGTATGTATCATCTGTAATATTATCAAAAGTATGTATCATCTGTAATAATAGCAAAAGCATGTATCATCTGTAATATTATCAAAAGTATGTATCATCTGTAA